GTGCTGGGAGTCTAGTTGACGGGATCCAGCGACGGTGCCTCCCTCCACCTTCTCCCTGTGTGGGCACCAGTGGCGGGGTGGCGCTTTCTGCTGCTGGTGGAGGTGGTGAACCTTAGGAGATGAGCATCTTGCGTGACTCATACACTACCTGGATCACAACTGCACACGGAAACACCCCCCTCTTTTGTTGCTCTGACTCTGGCATGATGATGATGATGATGGTGATTATTATTATCATTATTACCATCAGATGTTTTTATTATCATTATTATCAATATTATCTTGTTTTAGTTAATTAGTCTTAAAAGAAGAACCGGAACTTCTCAAAACTCAGTTACTTCCTTTCATTCAAAGAAAAAGTCTCAGAAATAAGCATCAATTCATAAGTAAACAGCATAATATGTAGTTTGACTCAGTGCGAACTGATATCTGCAGTTTGCCTGATGATGATGATCGCCCTTGGAAGTCATGTTCAGACTTTACACGTCCGTTTACGTGCCACAGAGTCACCGCGAGCTCTCCTCCTCACAGTATTTTTTTTCTGAATAGGCCCACAGCTCAGCAGGGCAGCCCTGCGTTCAGCTTACAAACCTGCCAGACTTTTTTCCTTTCTGAACTAGTGAGTGCCACTCGAGAGGCTTCGCTGCCCCCTGGCGGCGAGAAAGAGAAAGTCTTTCCCGCAGTGTTGCAGCCAAAAAGAAATAACCTGCTGACCAAGCGTGGACCAGCAGGAGTGATTCATTAATAATTCTCATGAAATGAATTAAGAAGCATGTACATGTAGTTATTTTTGCCTATCCACACTAGTGACAGTATTAGGAGACCTGCAGGAATAATTGATTGATAATGATGACATAATTAATTGAAAATCGTGTTGCCATAGTTATTTTACCAACTCACAGAAGTAACAGTGTTGTCAGCAAAACACACTTTAAGAATAAAAAAAATAAATGTGCAAGTTCTGTCCTCTTTGTTACTTTGTGTGATAAGACTGTTTGCCCAATCTTAATTTGAAAAGTGAATGGACTGACATGGTTTCTCCTTTTATGAGTGATGAAATTACATGATGTTCTTGTCATAGCTTTGCAATCGTTTAGATATTCAGAAGAATTAGCAGCTTGTGATTATCTTTGTGGATAAAAGTATGATGTGTACAGTGAAAGTCCTAGGTTTTGTTCATCAAATATTAAATTGATTCAGTGTAAATGACCATTTATAAGGAACTGATGAGCAGATTTGTCGACATCTATGTGTGACAAAGGTCATGTAATGTGTTTGCTAATATTGCAAGGCATGCTTTCAAATGTAACTTTGCAATGTGTGATGTATATTTGAAAAGTGTGCATTTTATCCCAAACCAGGACCTTTTTGTTTGTACACATACCAAAAGGACTTTTAGTTCCAACACTCAAAATATTTTATGCCCAATATGCTGACTTATTTAACTACATGTACATGTATATTTTCGATGTAATTTTGAAATATCAGAAGAATATAAAATTCAGTGGAATCTGGTCAAATGAAATGTACTTGATCAGTTTATACAGAGCACAATCTTTTTTCTGGTGTAAACATAAAAAGGTTGTTTTTTTAAATGATGTAAGTTTTGTCCAAAAGGCAAATTTGCTTGACAGTTCCTCGTTATTACTTAAATTTAGACGGGCAAAACAGTCTCCACCTTGTAGGTGGATGACACCACCTGTTGTTGATATGTGCAGGACTGATAACAAGTGATAAAAGCTATTGCCTAGGCTGATAACTGTCTGTTGCAAAGGACCGACTGATCATTAGGAAAACCATTTCCCAAAGATTTTATCTCAGATGAAATATGTCATCATTACACACAGCAATCCATTTGGCTTACTGTGTGTAAGGCTGTATGGGAAAACAATGACGTGCGCCCTAATAAATGAAGGTTATTCAGTGCATGAAACTGAAAAGCTGAGGGGTTAACATAAAGGTGTGTACTGCTCCGCTAATAGAGCAGTACAAGCTGACTTTTGCTTAGCAGGTCCCATTTAATTAAGCTATAAAGAGTTTATTTGTCAAACTAAAACCTCTGACAGCTTCATTAACTGGGAAAATATAAACACATGTCATCATCTACCATATCATTATGAAAACAATACCACAGCATATCATATGCCACTGAAACACAGTGACAATGGGCCTCTGTATGCCCTCTTAGATACTAGGCAGATCAAACTAAAAAAAAATGGAAAAGAATAAGTTTTCTGATGAATTTCACATTATATCAAATTAAAGCAAATTTGCATTACTTGTAAAAATAATGTTTCTAAGTGACCCAAATTGCATTAAGTAGTTCATCAAAGCATTTAATATCAATAGACAATCAAACAGGATTCAGACATACCAGTGTCAGATTTCCTTTTATATGTGCAGCTTTAATCAGGATTCAACAAAGCAACATTTGAGCTACAGTAGTGTTTGCAATGTACTATATAGCATCTTTGCTAATCCTTTTTATTTGATCATTATCAGTATAATACACAAAACAAATACAGTACATAAAACAAAGAATGAGTGACACAAATACGTTTTTAAGCCCAGCTACAATGGCTTTGCTGCATTTTTGCAAAATTAAGCAAAAGTCTGTTTGATGGGTTCTTCGTAAATATTCTTGTAAAAAGTTCTTGAAAAAAAAAAACATGAGCAACTTTATGCATTTTATTGGTCACCTTTAGCCTTACTTGAACAGGCAACTGTTGCTATCGTAGCTCTGCAAGTGTCCTTTAAACCAGCTGCTGGATGTGCAATAAATTCCCCAGCCAAGAGTTCAAAGCGTCAGTCAGCTTCACTGCCCATGAGCTAGCTTGGGATAAAGGGCATATAATCAACCCTAAGTTTGTTCCTAACATGCATCAGCCACAGCTGTCCAGACAACACACTGAGAAAAACAAGTGTTTGTCATGAGGGCTGGGCCAGTCAGGGCTTAAATTGGACAGAAGCGCTTTGCTGTAAGGGGCTTCCCTGAATGGGTGAAAGCAACTTAAGCAGAACTAAATCCCTTATTCTAACAGATGTATGGCAGATGAGTCTGTCACAGTGGCTGAAGGAAGGAGGGTGGGGTTGTTTCTTGGCCAGAAAGAGAGATAGTTAAATGGATGGGTGCATTGGTTTACGCCAAGAAAGATGTGCACAGACATGAGGAAGTCTACCAGGTTTCAGCACTATGGGGATCCTCTGACCTGACAGCTCACGTGAATGAGCTGATATACGTGAGTTACTTGTCTTCTTTCAGCCCCTAGCATATTAACATAATATTAGCTTTGCCGAATTTTTGGAAATGAGAGAATTACAATGTGGGTAGTACTAAATATATGATGTCCTATAGTTAATATGATTGAGTTTTCTACAGCAGAAAAAATAAAATCCTATATTTGTCTGTTTGCCAAATATTGTCAACATTCTATATGTAGCTAATATGTAGCTATCAAGCACAGTATGCTAACACCGACAGAGCTAAAAGGTTGATGCTAATAAGTGTAATATTAATAGGCAGATAAATCATGTTAGTTGTATTAATTTAGCTGGCTAGCATTAAAAACCTATTATGATATTAGCATTGTTTTATTCAGATGATTAATAATATGGTATAATATGCTTATACATAGATTTATTAATTGATTCTTCAATTCATTAATTTTTCAGAAGGTCACTGTTTGCTATTTGCCTATCACTGTTTTACATGCAGTAAAATGCTAATGCCAGCATGCTACTAATAGTAGAAATTGATAAAAAGATGACAAATATTATCAAACATAACACATAAATGCTGAGTGTAACAAAGGCCACTTTACATATATGTTATTTTAGCTTGTTATCAGTCAGAAATATTTATTAAATTACTGAGAACATCAGAGGATTTATAATGTGTTGAATTTAAGTGTTCATCCATCTGTCTGCCTACTATTATTCTACATGCAGCTAAATGCTAATATCCACATGCTAACAACGATGACGCCAATATGCTGGCGTTTAGCAGCGGGTACAGATATTTATAATCTGGTATAACATCATGTAAGCTGTATTTGTTTAGCCTGTTAACAGTCAAAATAATTTCTTTTTGAAAATTTTTGAACTTTCATGTTATTTTTAGTTTATAGACTAGAGGATTATTTTTATTTTTTCCATATATTACCCACCAGCCACAGTAATTTTGATCTGATGACAGCACTAGAAAAAGTCAGAGGATCACCAAAGTTATTGTAAATTTTCCATGAATATTACCATATTAGCCAAATTTATGGACAAGCTAATAGTTGTAGAGATACACTATTTGCACAAACGTACTGGGCTACCTACAAGAGCTGCGCTGCATGGAAACCTATTGCACGAAGCTCCTGCTATACAGTTTTTTGTGCTGATGGTAATGTTGGAGGAGGTTTGGAACTCTGCACTTCAGCAGAGTGTTGATTACACTTATGCACTATATGCCCCAGCTCTTGGCAACCTCACTCTCTAACTTTACGTGGCCTGCCAGTTGGTGTCTGAGTTGCTGTGGTCCCTAAAAACTTCCACTTTGGCAAAAATGCCACTTACAGCTGACTGAGGAATTTCTGAAAGGTACAAAAAATTAGATGAAGGGACTTGCTGCAATGTCTCATTCAATTACAGTAGCACTCTTAAATTAGTGATCTCTTTAGAAAGACCCATTCTTTCCCAAATAAAAGCACAAAAGAGTACAGGCCTAGATTCTTCAGATTTTACACAGCTGAAGCAATGGGGCTGAAAATACAAGAATTCAAAGAATAACAGGTGAGACCCAGTACCTTTGTCCATACAGTGAACTTCTGTCAGACTGAAGCTGCTGTCCACAGAAAAAATAATGAAGGCTATATGTGTTTGTCAGGGACATTAT